GATTAAAATCCAAGCAAATCTAGCTCTAAGGGTTGCACAGCTATTGTGCTAACAGTGCTAACGCTATCACATCTCCAAGCATTAGCAATATAATATCATAATCATCTTAGTTTCTAAGAAGTATTATAATATCACTGACATCACTGACATCAATCTAAAGATAGCACTCTGCCAGGGTGTTGGAAAGCTGCTTGTATCTGTTGCATTGACCGATTTCACAAAAGCATTTACTGAGCATCTGGTTGTTGGACAGAATATCACAGACATCTCAGGTTGAGACAAAGATGAATAAAACATAAAACATGAGTCTACCTTTGAGGAGCTTAAAATCCACTGTTTTTATCCATCTCCTGAACAATGTCAAAAGGTGAATCCAATATGTCATGAAACTGGGACAGGATTGAAAATAACTCAAATTCAAAAAGATCCTAACAGGTTTCACTAATATCCCCAAACTAGTGGGTGTCACAGAGATAAATGTAAAGGTGTGCTGTATTCAAAACCAAGTACAAGAACACAGCACTGGGGGGAAAAAATCTGCTTTTATGGCAGCTTTTACATAACGTATCTAAAGGTTTTAGGATTCACCTCAGGATGAAAGTGTTACTGAAATTTGTGACGTGCTCTTAGGTTAGAGTGACAGAAATCACATGTGCAGAATGAGAGCTTTTTATTTTTTTTCATGGAGCTCTGAACATAAGTTGGCCAAGCCTTTGCAGAGGTCAGCCATCTTGGCAGTATTCTTTCTAGCTCGGGCTATAACATTTTAAGAGGGACATCGAAAAATGTGGCTGGGGTAAATGAAAAGGGATAACTAAACCAAGTCATATGAAGAATGGCTGAAGGAACTGGAGACAAGGAAGACTCAGACAGTATACGGGACCAGGTTCCAAAACACTTGGGAGGGTTGTTATGTGGAAGAAGGGGTCAACTTCTGATCTGCTCCAGAAGGGAAAACCAACACAGACCAACTGAAGGTTAATCTCAGATTAGCAAAAGAAATTTCAAAGTGTTGAGCTATTTAAAAATGGATCGGGCTTCCATGGACTGCAGACAGGGCTCCTAGAGAGGGTGTCATGAGGAGGATGCCTTGGGTGGGCTGCTGAACTGTCTCTTGTGGAAAGCATCTTCCAAAATTAAAACCGCATTATTTATAATGGCATAACACAAACAATTCCCTAGACCTTTAATACACACACATACTGGAAGAAGATCATATTTTCCCCAAATATGCAAAGCCTATACAATTAACGTGAGCAGCAGTTACCTTTATATTCCTCTTAGAAGCAAAAGAAACTGTGACATTTAGGTCATGAAAAGAGAAGAAACAAGTAGCCTGTGCAATTGCCTTTGTGCATAGAAAGCCTGGGGACTATGGCATTCGTCCCCGGGAATCTATTCTGTGGACAACAGGGGGATGTTTTGACATAAAGACATGAACAGGGAATGAATGCAAGGTTTACGCTGGATGCAACTTGAAATCCTTCAGCACAATGCCTAGCAGCCATCAGAAAGCAAACATAAATGGCCAAAGCCTTTCCAGGGGTGAGGCATAGAAACAGAACAAATTACTCTTGTCGAGATAAACGCAACATCAGCACACTGTGTCTGCAGTGTGGGCCACAGACCTCCCCTGGCAACGGGTGTTCAGCCCTGGGCAAGAGGAAGAAAATTCAACCAGAACAAGAGCAAAAATTCTGGCACGTGGATCTTCAGGTAATTTACACAAACCAAGTTAATGTAATTGGCAAGCAGAAACCTAGAGACGGAGTATTTAGAGAGAATCCTACCAAGAGCAGAGGAAGCCAAAGGGAGCCAATAGAAGAGACTGCTCGAGGCTTGCTGAATACGGGAAAAAAGAAGAAAGAGACTGAGATTGCCATCCAGGCAAAGCTCGATGGGGAGTCAAGAAGAGGTAAAGGGAACAGACCTTTGCCTAGCCGACCAAAGCCCCAGATAAAATCCTAACCACGCCACGCAGTTTATTAGGAGTTGTTTCTTCCCTACTAACCAACCGGCTTCCACTAGTCTCAAGCATTCTTTCTGACTTATTTCATTAACATTTCCTTCTTTTTCTGGAGTGGTCAGAGCCCCAGGGACTCTCTCTCTCTCTCCTCCCCCTCCCCCCAACCAATGGGGCATTGAATGAGAGCCAGAGTGTTGTCTGTGTAAAGAGAAATTGCAAAACCACAAATTGCAGAAAATCGTTACTGCCAAAAATCGAAAGGAACACACAATATCACCATGCCTCTTAAAAAGCAATTGCGCATTTTACAGGCCTCTGGATAATTCAGGTTTGTTTGGCAACTTTCTCACGCATACCACCCAGAAGACAATTCTCTTCCAGCAGAAGCAGTGGTCCCAAAGAATATGTGTGGTTGCAAAGAAACAAAAAAAGTGGGTTCAAGTCTTTCCAGGGGTCCGACTTAGCCCAAAAGGGTTCTATTTTCTTCTATTGTGTAGTATTGATTTTAAGGCCCAAAATTTGCCCTCAGAGTCCCAGGGACTCCCACTAAAACAGAAAGCGCCTTCAATCATTTAATAAGAATCCCTTAAAGAGACAAAACATTTTTCAGTGGTCAAATCTTTCTGAAACATTATCTTATGTGATTATCACAACAACCCTTTGATGGAAGCAGGAAACATGTTTTCCTTTTTCCTCCTTTCACCCGTAATTAGAAACTGAGGGGTTAACTGACATTCTCAAAATCATGCCATTTCTGGGAGCGATCTGGGGCTGATATGCGCCTTCCTTCCATCACCCACACTCTTATGCCATGGGGCATATCTCTGTCTTCCTGACTCGGCCACAGCAGGCCTCCATCAGAGGTGTTGAGATCTTACGTGGCCCATACACATGTCTAGGGCCTTTACTTGGAAAGCCTCCTGCCGTTCACTATAGATCAGGCCTTGTCTGAATGGAGTGCTGATGAGGCTCTTTTCCATTTGCATTGGTTGTATAATGCAATCACCATTAGGACATAATGTCTACTCCTGAGGGGCTGATCCAGTGGAGCTGCCAAAATGAACCAGTCACAATTGCCTGGTGATTTTAATGCGTTTCCATGACTCCTACCAGTTGCTTAGAGGTGACGTGAAGAGGTATGTAGACCCATTGTATCTGGGTGGTGTAAAATCCTAGTGCATTTTTTTTACTTCTCAGAATATTTACTAATAAAATAGGTCACTAGCCACTTTGTAGGTCCTTGAGAAAAAAAAAAAGTGAAAATAAAGCAATCACAAAGTTACCCTTCTCAGGTGAAATAGCTGGCCTACCCCCTCCCCCAAATCTGGGACACAAAAGGTGCTTTCAACTGGAATTTTGACAAAGCAATCTTGAGGTAATCGTCATATATGTGTTTACAGTTGCACATTTGCATATAACGATTTTAAACGTTGCCTTAAATTGCCCTTCATGTAATTTTCACCATGAACATATACCAACTGTCTTTTAGTGTTGAAAATTAAGTCATTTAAAAGCAGTGGTAAACCTCAACAAGCAGAAACAGCGTGATAAAGAGCTACCAAACATGAATATACAGGAAAGCAAACATAGGCAGTTCCTCCTGAACAGTTTTAATATTCAAAAAAAGGAAAACAGTCAGAAGTTATCATTTGTGCCAGTAAAATACTCATGATAACACTGCTCATAAAATCCAACATGACTTTACTGGTAAAAGCTGCTTAAAATACTCATAATATGTAGGTTCTTGATAATGCAATAAAGACCAAAGCAATATAATTCAAAGGTTGACATTTTGAAATATTCCAGCGAATGCATAATACGTCGATGTAAAATTTGAATCGTTTTATTATTTTGTGCTCATGTTTGAATATTTGGTGTATAGCACAATTTATTCTAGAGAGAAACAAGAAACGTCATCTAGGGAAATCAAAAGGTTTTCTAAGTTTTTCTTGCAGTTCAGCTAAATACATAGTTTTTTCAGGGACTAAATGATTCAAAAGAGGATTTATTAGAACATACACAATACGTATAACTCCAGTGAGACCCTTCGATTCTCATGGGTCTGACAATGCTAATGAAATGATTCAGTGACTGCTTTGGGAAAACTGTAGGGATCAGGAGCTGAGAGTTGATGTATTTCCTCGCTTACCGGGCTCAACCTTCTACTTTACAGTTGTCCTCTCTTGCTTACTTATCTGTAGTGACAAGCAACTCACTACCTTCAAACTACTTCTGAAGAACTAGAATCTTTATATGGAATCCAAATCTGTCCTGTTTTTTGAATTCAGGTATTATCAGTTTTTTCAAAGACAGATGGAAATTCATAGTTTTTTGAATAAAATCATTCTAAACTTCATTTTAGTAAAAAAAAAGAAATAGTCTCATTCTAATTCCCAATCATTCCCAATCCATCATTTAGGCAAAAGTCTAAAATACGCAGAACTCTCAGTTCGGACCTGGTGTGATTTTATTTAGTCTTTAGAATAGAGGGAGTTTATAATTTGGGTGTGGGCACTGGGAGTGCTGAGTAAAGACATAATAATACCCGGGAGATTCGATCTAGAAAGAACACTGATTTACAGAGTGGCCTCAATGCAGTACACACAGGAAGGAATTATTAAAATAACTACCATGCTGTTAAACGTGAAACAATCTGTGACTGTGAGGAGCCACTGGGCCTGGTAATAAATTAGTCAGCCATTTGACAGAGGCTCAATATTCAAATGTTGGGTGTCATATGGTTGTAATGTCTAAAAGAATATTGCCTAGTTTTTTCCTCTGCACTTTTCTCTAGCTTTTTAGATGCAATGTAGTTGCAGCCATTGTCAAGCTCAATCTGCTTTCCAAACGGTTTATAAAACGCTCCACGATGCTATACAAATCAACAGTGTGAAATGTTGGTTCAAACTGTGGCTGCATTTGTTGAGCCAGACTTTAAAAATGTAACAATGTGAGATGTGAGCCTTAAAGATTAGGGGGTTTTGGGAATTACAGCTGAGGAGTAGATACCATTTCAAAGAGGAAACGTACTTACATTTTGCTGCAAGTGAAATGCCTGTCTTTAAAGGGTAGCCTCTGAAACAAAGAGAGAGAGAGAAAAAAGTATGTTATAAAAAAAATTGCACAGTAAACCAATTCAAAATGAAAAAGGCACTGAATTGCCTTTGAAGGTACAGCCACTGACTGCAAAAAAAATGTGAAGTCTAGAGATGAAAACATATTTATTGAGAAACTTCTTGGAGATACAAGGAGCTTTAGCCCAGAAAGAAAACACATAAGTCAACTGCTATATCTCACTGAAGGCTGAGCTCCCTGCCCCTGAATTGCCTAGAATTTCAAGATCCCTTGATGCTCACTTGGTCTCCCAGGTTTGATCCGGGCGAGAGGAAATATGAGGAGACTAGTACCTAGTTCAATGGCTTCGATTCATCATTCTCTACTTCTGGTTTATACAGACATTTGTACCTTGTTCTCTTAGGCCCAGCTCTGACACATTGTTCTATTAAGTGAAACTTCTTCTAAAAATTATGATTTTCTCAATTCATTCTTATTAGGTAAGTAGACAAGTTTCTTTTCCAAGAAATAAAGAGCTTTTCTGGGGAGTTGTGTGTGTGTGTGTGTGTGTGTGTGTGTGTGTGTGTGTGTGTGAAAGGGGGGAACTGACATCAATGCCAGGTTTCTCTTTATTCAAGATGGCAGTGAAAGGAGAGAAACAATTAGACTGTGCCTGTGCTTGAAAGGAGTATGCCAATTGTGCAGGCAGTTCCTCAGTGCGGCAGCGCACCAGACAGTTCAGCTTGCTTCCAAATCTTTTTTTTTGCATCTACAGTGGTTATATCCAAAGGGGTACTTTTCAGGGTAGTAAGCTTAATTGAGGGTGTCAGGTAAGTCCCCATGATTGCCGTGGGGATGAATGCAATTCTTTGCATTCTGAGATTCAAATGGTTCCAGGTCATCTCCAAGACTGAATGTGGTGTCCTCAGACCTACAGAAAGCTCTTGCCGTGCCACCCACAGGGATCTGGATAAGTCCGATTAGTCACTGCAGTGAGTAATATTTTTCCAAGCTCTGCCATTTTTAGTACTAGTGTGGCTTTGGGAAATGGATAGACCTAATAATAGTGGCTATTTCAAAGAACTGTTGTAAGGGTTAAATAAGATAATACATGTCAAACAGCAGCATGAGGCTGGCTGGCTGTGGGGATTCGATAAATGCTTCCTGGTCGTTGTTACTGTGTTGTAATTATTATTACCAGAAGGCCAATTTGTAGAACCAAATAAGAAGGTATGAAAAGTCCATGAAATTGGAGCTAGAAAGGTAGTTATGGAGAGCCTTGCTTGGGTAGGATATTTCCATTCTCGGTCATCAAAGCTGTAACAATGTCCCACATTTGTCTCTCCGAATACCTTCCTCCAATCTTCATTCCTCCAACTGCTCAGTAGAATTGAGTTAGAGCGACATCTCACATTGGGAAATCCCTCAAAGTTTTGGCCAGCCACCTAGTCCCTCATTTACTATGCATGGAGATGGTTGGCGGTGGGGCTCCCAGAATTGCAAACTGTGAAATTATTGAACTGCTGGGCCCAGGAAGAAATGGGATAACTCTCCTTTCAGGGTGCTTGACACACGTTCTTGACTCGATACGCTCGTATCAAGCTGATGTTTGTAGATGGATCCTATGGTGTGATGCAACAAGACGCCATGTGCATCGCTGACTGGAAGAAATCAGCAACATGGCTCTAACCACCACTTGACATCCCTTCCCTCCCAGCTCTCGCCCCTCCAAAGAAAAACATGTACTGCAAATTCCTCTGAAATGGTGTACACTTCAGTTTCTTTGAGGAACTTGTTGCTAGGAAGCAAATTTAGGACACTCTCACCTCCCCAGGAAAGTTTTAACTACTGCCTCAGATAACAAGTTCTTCAGCCATGAAAGTATTACGTATTAAGAAGAAAACTGTCCGTCTGTTATCTCAGGGATTCACTAGACAAGAGCTCTTCATTTGGGCAATGATTTCCCAGCAATATCATTGATTACTTTAAAAACTATTCAGAGCCATCCTTTATGTAGTTACCTAATACGGTGGTACTGATCGTTTTTCCTGGGGTACAAAATAAATAGAGCCGCCAAGAACAATGGGGTGGTGAGGTTTTACAGACCATAAAGGAACATAAGCGCTCCCTTTTGCTTTTCTATGCTTATTTCCACATCAGAAAAAGAAAAAGCTGAATTCTTAAAGGAGAAAAAGGGTCCTTAAAATGATTAATGAACTTATTTGCTAAGTGTTTACTGAGTGTCAGGTATCTGCAGGACACTGCTAGGTGCTAAAAATACATCTCCTGTCCTCGTGAGAAGGTCTGTCTGGTTGGAGAGATCACTAGACCGCTTGGAGGGAGCAGGTGATGATATAATGCAAAATGACAAGGTGGTCAGTGAGGAGGGAAGGTTGTCTTTGATGATCCAATTTGGAAAGAGAAATCAGGGAAGTGTAACTGGGGAAGTATTGGGATGACACCTGAAGAAAAATTCGTATTTAATGATAATAACAACAGCTAACACTGTGGAGTGCTCAGTGCAGCGGGAACTGTCCTATGTGCGTTTACATGTGCTGACTCGCTTATCATCATAACAACCCTAGGAGTAGAGGAGGTCCTAGTCTCAGCCCGGGGTAGGAGTTAAGGAGGCAAGTGGGGAGCGTGGCGCACACCAGGCAAAAGGGCATCATCAAGGGCATGAGCTCCGGGCAGGAGAAACTGGCTCCTCCGTACCATTTGCCTTATTTTGCACACGCTTCAGCAAAGCCCATTCTTCTACCATGTAGGCGACTTTAAGGGACCCTGGGTGGGGATCTTCTGTTAGCAATCCTGGATAACTTTCGTGAGAGAAGCCTAATCCCTCTGCTCCCACCATGGGGAGACGCAAGGTCCATCTTGGCTCTCTGCCCTGGGCCACACCCACCTGGCACCTCTGAGCCACCCTCAGAAGCCACCAGCAGTCTACCATCCTTGGGTCATGGTAGCACCTGGGCCTAATTTAGTAGCCAGGTCCACATGGAACAGGCCTTATCCAAAGCCTCAGGGTACCTTCTTTGGTCTGCTTGTTAGGAATCCAGTCTCCTTGCTCTGATGATCACTGGGATCTGTCGACTGATGGTCCTGGATCAACTGGTCTGTAGGCTAAAGTGTCCAACCAGGGGGTCCTCTGCACCACCCACCTATCTCAATTTCTCACCCTGGTGCCTGTGGCTGGTCCCATCTTGTTATGGTCTGTAACCTACAATTGATGCTCACTGAAAAATAGACTAGTAATTTTCGAATGTTCTAAGCTGACTGGAATATCTGGCTGAAGTTGTCTGCTATTTAAAACTTTTATAATATGCAAAAAAATCACATCATTGCAAGAATAACTGTTTCAATAATGTAACACAGGGAGTCAAATCTCCTAGATACCTATTCCTCTCTATAATATACAACAAGCTCGATCCTACAAGTCCAAGATGATACATTTTTTTGATATAGAAAATATTGATTTTGACATATTTTATTCAAATACCAGTCTGATCACACATGGCCCAAGAACATTCAAACAATAAACCCAAAAGAAACAGATGTTAATGAGTGGTCTTCAAACATTATAGCCAATGATGCCACGCTTGCCGATGATCTCGCCAACATAAAACCATATCCACACCTCAGTGACCACCAAATCACTCAGCTGAGCTTCCTTAACTGTGAGCTGTTTGAAGCTACCAGTTTGAGCACTACTGACTATTTTTTTCAAGCTCTGAATAGCTGTAGGGATCTCAGCAGGGGTTGGAGGAACCAGGTCAACCTTGGCATAATGCCAAAATGTGGCCAATCGAGGCTTCGAGTAAGTCACAGCAGCGTTTACCAGCGCCGGAGCCTTCTCTGCCAGGTTACGGACAAACTGGGCCATGGTTCTAGGATGGAAAGTCCATGCACTCGAACGGCCGGCTGAATGTCCAAGATGATACATTTTAAGATGAAGCGGTTGCCACTTTCTTATTGTGAATACTGAATGAATTGTATCTTATGTTAATTTTATTTATTTACTTATTGCTATGGTAGCAATAAGTACATGAATGCTATGGTATTGCTTATTCTCTATTCCACTGAGTCCCAGGAGTTCTGGGAACCAATAGTTTTTTTCTTTTTTCTTTTTTTTTTAATTTTATTGGGAAACAGTGTGTTTTTCCAGGACCCATCAGCTTCAAGTCAAATCATTGTTTCAATCTAGTTGTGGAAGGCGCAGCTCAGTTCCAAGTCCAGTTGCCATTTTCAGTCTAGTTGCAGGGGGTGAGCAGCCCACCATCCCATGCGAGAATTGAACCAGCAACCCTGTTAAGAAAACGTGCTCTAACCAGCTGAGCCATCTGGCCACTCAGCGACAGCTCAGCTCAAGTCATTGTCTTCAATCTAGTTGTGGAGGGCACAGCTCACTGGCCCATGTGGGAATCGAACCAGCAACCTTGTTGTTCAGAGCACGCACTCTAACCAACTGAGCCACCCGGCTGCCCCACCAATAGTCGTTTAAATTACCTGGGAAAATAAGAATGAACCAATGCAGGTCTTATATAAGGTAGACTATGCTGATTATCAGGTAGTAATAATAGCATGTTGTGCATGGCGGATGTCCTCTTCACTTCGGATCAAGTGTTCTTTGAAACCTGAGACTGCGTGCTGCAGGCCCAGGAATCTGAAGGTGGGAGTTCAAGGGCCTCTGCCCAGGGCTCCCACTCTGGAGATGGAGGCAAAATGGTATCAGAGGACCCGAAGTTTGAGTCTGGTTGTTCCACTGACCTCCAGAGTGACTTCTAGCCAGTTATTCAACCTCATGTTTTTCATGCTGATGAAAGCACACATACATACACATGTAACATTTATGTATCTCAGTGCCTCTTTCTATAAAATGCAAATAAAAGCAGCACTTGTACCTCTCCTAAGATTGCTGGGCTTATTAGAGGAATAATGCCTACAAGGCCCTTGGCAGGGAACTGGCTCATTTTAAGTGCTTAACATATGATAGCGATGATTGTCTTTATTGGGTCCAAACT